CGTCTGTATTTTATGAAAATTTTATATCGTGTGAGCGTTAATGTCTTATTTATACTCATCTTTTTTCCCCGTTTCTTGTAGTCTTTTCGGGTTCTCCCTCGCGGTTTGAAATCGAATTTTTCATGTATGTACATATTCTATTGTTATGCACAAAGATACTTTTGTCTGACGAGATAACAAGATTTATTTCTCTTTCTCCGTAGTATCGGTTAAGTTATTTAATTCCAAAATAAGTTACGAATCGCGCGATTGGAAAAGTACTTACTTCTTGCCCGGGGGAGGGACGGGGAACGAGGACAGGTAACGAGTTCTTTCGCCCCGTGATTTTTCAAAGGCTTCCTCGTCTTTCTCGCGTCGAAGCCTTTGAACTTCCCCGAGCGCCTTTCGCGACGCGGTCGAGATTCTTTCCTTTTCGCGAAAGGCCATAAAGCAATTAAGTGGTATTTGTTCGCCTAGTTCCGCCGAGATTACTTCAGCCTCGCGACTCGAGCTAATCAAATTACCTTCTATGGAAACGTCGCGCGCGGCACTTAGAAACAGTTCTTTTTTTTCTTTCTTTCTTTTTATGGCTCGATATTCACGCTTTTTTCACGAAAAAGCGACTTTTATTTCTTCCCCGCTTTTTTCTTCCCGAGCAAAAATTGTTGGAGAAAAATTGCGGGTTTTAGGACTTCCGATAATTTGTTCCGAGAAATTGTTCTTGTACTTTTTTAAATTTTATTTCAAGGCTCGGAGCTTAACTTCTATTTTCATCACGCGAAATTGAAATGTCATATTATTTCGGATGTTGCGTGTCGCGATACAAGAGAAAAGCTACGCTGCAACAAGCATGATAGTTCTTTTCATCTCGACCGTTTCAAAACGCGCTGCTGTTACGCGCATATATCGTTATCGTCGCTTATCACAAAATCGCAGAACCTAGCCGGTGCGCCTCGATTCTCAGTATCCTTTTTAAATTCATCCCTTTCGGTTACGTAGGGGCGACGGTTGCAGGGAAATTGTTTGTCCGAGTGAAGACATTTTCCCGTCGCTCGCCACCCATGCGCAAGATAGACGACCCTTTTCACATATTTTCATATGTATATATACATATATACATACATATATACGTATACATCCCGTTCCGCTCGGGACAAAGTAAAATGAAAAGATAGTTCGGATGCTTTGACTTCCGCTTACGTATGCATACTTTCGCTCACGTGTACCGTTGTTACGTTATTCGCTTCTACATAGTCGGCGTACAATAAGTATCGACTGAGAGACGCATGGAAGACCGTCACTTACCTCCCCCTTTCGGCCTCAGAACTGTATAAAACGACGGGGGGGGGGGGAATCCTTACTAAAATCTGCTAATAAATTCCCCGAATCGATCGATCGATCATTCCTCGTTTTCTCACGCGCGAATAAATCATTTGCATTTCGCGTCTGAATTTTGATGTTATGCCGCGAAGTCGAATTTATTTATTTGGCATTTTTGCGGTGAAATTTATTTAACTCGACAGCCCCGCGTCAATTAATAAAACAGCCGGGCAACGCGCGGATTAATTACAAACGATGCCTAAGTCGCGGCAGCCGGTCGTTATCGGCCGTGCGACAAAACGGGGCGCGAACGAATAAAAGGACTTTACCGTCGCGCGGAAACGCGGAAAAGCGGCGAAAGCTCGGACATTTGACGCGGCGGGCACCCCTTTCCACACGTCGCGCCGCCCCGCGCCGCGCCACGACGCGGCGTTATGGAATTTTTGCGGAACGGCTTTTTTTAATTGATGCAATTCAAACCAGCCGCCGGCCGGCCGCGCCTGGCTCGCTCGTAAAACTTTTCGTCGCCTTTCCGCGCCCGTCGTGTGAATTCGAAGTTCCGGCTTTTTCCGGCCGATCCTTCGCCCTCATCACGGAAAAACACTCGCCGAGGGCACTCCTGGGACGCATCAAGCTTCCTAGGAAACTGTACGGAATTATGCCGGTCCTTAGGCGAGTAACCCTAAGCGTCGCTCGTAATCTCGCTCGCGGGAAATCTCATCGCTGACGAAACGGCGATATCGCTCGCGCTGATTGTCGCGAGAATTGATCTCATCGATTTTCATTAATTGCACCTACTCTCTTATATCGATGATTTTCTCCCAGACGTATCGTCAGCGATGATTCGTATACATACCATTTCAGCTTCGGCGATGTGGGTGTGTGAAATTGCACTCGCCGATCGCGAGAATGCGTTATCAATGCGAGACTTCCGGCATTAACAAAAAGCGGTGCCCCACAACCGAGTTTTGTTCTTTTCCTTCCCTCTTTACTCGCTCTTGGCATAATGAAAAGCTTAGCAGTTGGTTTAACTTGGCCGAGGATTAAGTTTACCTCGTTTCAAGGGTGCCAGAGCAGCGTGGAATTTCTACCTCTTATTTTTCCACCTCCTCCGACGCTGGAAAAGAGCGCGCGGTAGGTATTTCTTAATTAGCAGCAAGTATCTCGTCCGACGGAAGTTGCCTTATTAATTAATATTACAGAAGAGAGACATGGTCGGAGGAGGGATAGAGAGAGAGAGAGAGAGAAGGAGCATGAAGGATGCGTGGGGGTGGAAGAATGAGGGAGGGCGCGAGGGTAGAAATATTTTCTATGAAACGTGACTTTCGCTTATGCGATATTACGCGGTCGAAATAACTACTATTCATTAAAGGAAAAAATAACGCTTTACAACTGTGGAGTATACGTATAATCGCGGAATGCGATGAATAATCATGGAATTTTGCGCGACACACGAACCGAGAATAAATTGTATGCTATGTAAATTGCAACTGAAACTTATATTTAAGTTAAAATGTCGCGTGTTGAGGACCGAGATATGCTAATGCTATTTAAATTTTAACTTGAGAAATGTTAAGAATATTACACAAAGCCGCGGTGGTCCAAATAAAGTAGTCTGATAAAGTATTTTCTTTATTGTTATTATTATTAATACTGGGAGCCCCGGAAATTGTTATCGCGTCTTTACAATCGGGGATTTACACGTCCGTTTTGTTAAAGCTAAACCTACGTAGATATGTGAAAAAGAAATTGACGCGCTCGGAATAGCAGGAGTGAAAATCGTACATCTAAAGAAAAAAGTTTAAAGAGAATTCAAATCAAATAAATGCTTACAGTTTCTACTGCTTGACATCCGTTCTTTTTTAGCCCTTTGTCTACGACTTGATATCGTATTGAACAGATAATTTTCCATCAGGCACAACCGAGATTATTCACTTCCGGCGTATTTCTGTTAATCATGACAGTTGATTAATACGGTCGTCAACGAGCTGACAAAGATAAATTCGTGAAGTGTCATTAACGAAAAGCTCGAACGATATCGCTTTGGGTCGCGTCTGAAGAAGCAGTAAAACTCGACGAAACAAAGAGGAAGCCGGCGAGAAAGAGGGCAAATAATACAGTCTTAGTGGACATTCGAGAAGTTAACGCGAATACGGGAGGGTGTGGAGAAAATAAAGAGAAAAAAAAGAATGAGCGGCTGGTGTCGCGCAAGATGTTTTAATAAACCGAGCCAATCAAAGTGGAAGTTAAAGAGTTTTCTTGTTTTTTAACGACCGCTTTTACATTCGTTTAAATCACGTGCCGCTGCGCCGCTCGGCGAAATGATGGGGCGAGAAATGAGCGCGAGTGAGGGATGCCAACAAGAAAGAACTCGGGATGCAGAAAGGCGCGGCGAGAAATTTTTACGAGTGAGTGGCGATGAGAGGGAAGGGAATGGGTTTTAGCGCGTATGAGCGGTGCGAGTGTTCGTAGACTTGCTGTTTCGAGACGAGCTATCGATCAAGTTTCAAACTGAGTATCAATGCGAGATTAGTCTCTTTGTAATTTTATGGAATAAAAGAGAGAGTAAAAAATAAAAGAAGAGAGTGTGTATTCAATTCTAAAGTAATTAATTTTACAAAGGGTTTTTTTCTACAATTGCCTGTAAATGCATGTCCCTAGAACGGTAAAAGCGTATATTTGTGAAAAGTAAAAAGAAATTGCGTGAAATATTATCAAGTTAATTTATTATTTAATTTAAATATTATAAATAAAAATTGAAACTTTAAAATAAGTTTTATAAAAAGTTTCTCTGATGTAACAATTTTCTCAAATTGATTGAACATTAAATTATTTGAAACCTTTTTTAGGTTTAACTTTTATTTTGCTTATAACACGCTTAAAAATGTATAAAAAGATATGTAGGTTTAATAATTATATGTTTCCGAGGCACAATAACATTCAAATGTGCGGTTGAGATTCACCACAGGTTATCATAGCAGTTCTATTTCTCAGGACTTCGTATTTAAACTAGCTAAATTCACAGAAGGAGAGATGTCTATTTACTTATGTCAAGAATGCGGAAAAGGTCAATAGAAGCATATATAGTTTCATGAACAGAGAGTTGCATTTTATGATTTAATGCGAAAACTGACAAACACGTACATCAAATTTTTCTTTTCGATATTGTAATTTATTTTGTTCTTATGCTATACAATTATTACATCACTTTATTACAGTATCGATGCTTGGATATTTGGCGTTTCTATTCGCGAATCGGAACGAGGCTGCATCGACGGCGGGCGAGCAGAGCAGTTATTTTAACGCTCGATAAACGCAGACGGATGCACACATAGGGATACAGTTATTGGCACTTTAAGCGGAGACTTTTCATTCACAGCTTCTATAGACTCGCGCGGCGCGTCGCAAACTATACATTTTTCATTCGGTCAGTTAGATGAATGATCGCGTTGTGAGAGTGTACGCGTGTTCAGAAGTTTGTGCCGAAGCGTATCTGTGCTTTGTTACGTGGGAGCGGAGCCAACAATACACGTTACCGATCACATGCGAAATTACTGTGCAACATCGCGGTTACAAGCAGGCATTGTCTCCATCAGCTGCAAAACGGAATGGGAGATACGTGAAAATCTCCGAGCTCGTATATACCGTCTCTTTTCATAGAACACGTGTTTTTATAAAATTTCTCATTTAACTGATTACTATTTTCACTTATTACTATTGATACTAACTACTATTTTTTACTCCACATATTCCATTTATATTACTCGTGATTTGCCGCAAACGGTTTTTGAATGCCATTTATTTTTTAATAACCATTTCTATCGTTCAACAATATAGCAATTTGTGTACAGAAGTAACAATATTAAGCAAATTAATCTACAAGAGAGTTAAAGTTTTTATATAATTATTTTAAAATTATCATCAAACCCTTGGATTTTTAGAAACTGGAATATATTTGTTTTTGAAGAATCAAAAAGCCAAATTAAATTTTTGTGCAGCATTATATTTTGGCATGATTTTTCAGCAATTATCTTATATATATAGAAATTAAATTACAATAATATTATCACGCGCAAGCGAGCGATTCCGAAACAAACTTTAATATCAGCGCGCATGACTTAAAGCTCAAGCGGTCGGATGAATCTCGCTTACACACATGGTCTCCACACTCCGGCTCGACCGAGCACAAAAAATGCGAAAACTTTCGCAACGCGCGGCCTTCATTTTTATTCGTCTCGCTTTTTTATATACGGACGCAACGCGACGCAACGCGGGCAGCGCGCGGCTACCGGACAGCCATGCCGGCACGGGACACGCGTTTCCATCGGCGGCCGGATATTATTTCAGTCGGCGCATATTTCCGCAAATGAATTTTATGAAAACAGTTTTTGCTCTTTTAATTAATCGCTCCTCCGTCGGCAAACCCACGGCTTGCCATTCCTCTTCGCGCGCGGACTCGCCGCGGCGAGTCCGCGTGCGAAGCAACCGGGACGAGCGCGGCTTTTAGTAATAATATTGTTTCAGAGACCGCGCGTAACGGAAAAGAGCCGCGACTCTCTCGTCCCTTTCCCTCGCCGTGCGATACGTGATTTGCGTGATTTACGCAAGCTCGCCGCAACGTTACACACCGACGTCCCTTTTCCTCTTTTTTTTTTTTTTGCGACGGAGAAAGGCGCCTGGAAAAATTGTTAGCGCAGAGATAATGACGCTCGCTTCCCAAGTTGCTCGTAGCTATACGGGGAGCTTTGCGATCCGGCGGGATAATTTGCTGGTGATTAAACGCGGAGTATAGTCCGAACGGAAATAACGATCCGAGTAACGAGAAGAGAGAACGCGATTCGATGCGCACTTCCGACGGGTGAATAGATACTGATAATAGATATTTGATAATTGTTGCCTGTTTGCTACTTTTATGCGACATCAAGATTTAAAATACTTTTATTGTATGATTTATATATATATATATATTAATTTTTATATATATTAGAATATATTTCTCTCTCCGCGTTACTCTCTTCTGTTGGTCTTTTCCGATAAATATCTCCACTTCTGTGATATCTTTTATTAGTTAATCTTGAGACAGAATGAGCTTTCGATGCATCGAAGATCCATAAAAATTTCGAGTAGAAGTAATTGTTAGAAGACTTAATATTTGATGTCATCTTTGTTTCAAGTAATCTAAATATAGACTAACAGTTTAGAGAATTAGCATATTGCCAGAATCAATAAAATCAATAATTATTAACTGCAAAAGCGCTTTTTCCATTAAATAAATTAATTAGGATATACTTTCCAAAATAGTTTTGCTACATCTCTAAAGTGGATATTTCGAGCGTACAATTTTTAATAGGCGGGGCTGCGTTTGCGCACAGATAATTTGTGCTGGCAACAAAGTGCAGCATTTTGTACAAACAGGAGTAATCGTCAGCCAATTAGATAGCCGGGAGGTCGTAGTTAGGCGAACCTTCGGACGCGGCTAGGCGCGCCTGGGATAATCGTAGCCATAAATAACATTTATCGGGAGGTCCCTCTGCTCTAATTGCCAATGATTACCGCGGGCCGTACGAGAAAAAATTGCCAATTTGCATCGAATGCTCTCTCGTTTCCCGCTTCGTTTACTTACCGACCGCCCGCCAGTTCGTTCGTTGGATTATAGATAAGCAGTTTCGCCTGTGACGTTAAATCACCTTCCGTTATCGAGCAACCGTCGTTCCACTAAGCCCCGTCGAGATACGTCGATATTAAAAAGCATCGCATTAATTCTCGGAGAACAAATTGCTTTGTAGATGGTGTACCTACTTTTTATGGATTTTCCAAGAGTCACGAGAGTGTTCGCCGCGGCTGATTCCGGTCATTTTCTATTACGCGGATATTTCAATGAAATCTGTCGGAGTAACTGCCGGCGTAAAAAGCGCCGCGGACACGTTAATTCGTAAAGCTATCGAGATATTTTTCACTGAAAACTTTTGATCTTCCGTATATCGAGCTTTCATCCGGAATATTCAACCAGTATCGCTCCAGGTTGTTAAGTATTAAATTTAATCCTCGCGTTAGCAATACTCGTGATCCCGAACGGCACAAAGGATGGGGATATTGCGCTTCTTCGTGGCCTCGTCATAAATTCGCGATGTTCAGCCGAATTTCGAGTCAATTCGTGCGAATCGTGCGCGATCGCCCCCTTCGCGATCTCTCCGGTCGCTTCCTCTTCCGTTTCTTCACGTCGCCTTTTTCCAGCGCCCGGATACGCGGAGAGGGTTCGCGTTCGCACCCGAATAGAGTTGGATGCCGCTCTTCTGAATACACAATGCGATTTATTCGAAACGCGGCGTATAAAACACAAAGGACCGCGTATGATTGGTAAATTATTGAGGCGGACCGGATTTGTCGGCCAATCACGTAGCGCCCTTAAATAATTCAGAGGAAATACGAACGGAAGATGCAAGAGGGAGGAGGCTCCGGGCGCGCGGCGAGAGTCATTCCGCGCGTTGTTTCTCGCGTCGCAACGTCGCGAATCAATATCGCGAACTCATGACTCGAGAGAAACAGGAACATAAAGCTTTAAGAAAGCGGAAGAAAATGGTGTGTCCTCTTCGGCGGCCTCGATAATTCATGCCGCGATTCACAACCACAATTCTTGCATAACATCGAAACAAATTTATTAATACTTCTATGATAGAACTATAATACAAAACGTATCTCTATACTAGCAAAACATGCACACTTCCTTAATTAATATTTCCATTCTTTCGTACATCGTGATCTAAGCGCAATCGGAATACATAGAGCGCTGCCCGTGATTTATATGCGGGGATTTAGAAAGCAATACCGTAGGATACAATGTACAAAAGGGTTCCGATACTCGCACTGGCTGTGCTTAAATGTTCATTTGATAGTCGCATAGTATAAATGTTTCTTTAGCGATTATATATTCGTCGAAGACTTTTTACGTTAGGAACTATGCTGGTTTCATTCTGGAATCGTTACACACTTTGCGAGAGAATTATTCCTTAGTCGCTGAAATATCTTCAGGTGTAAAAAGAAATCGCGGCTAAGTCAGGCGACTTTAACGCGCTCTGTGAATGTAAGTACTCGCTCTGTCGTAGTATCAAAATATAAGTTCCTAGATCGCAACAGTTTTTCAGTATTGATTGATAATTTCAAATAATTATCGGCGCAATGCGATTTGACAGATTGAAGTAAGCGTGCATATGATATTTTTATTCGTCGAGAAATCAAAAAGGTGCGCTAATAAATTGGCACTCGCTATTGTACACGCTATTTATAGTAATTTAAAATTGTCGAATTTAGTATTCGTACATATGCAAACACTTGCGAACGTATTTTGCAACAAAATTACAAATATTTCACTACTCAAGTGATCAACGAGCCAACGTATTTTTATACTTAACGCTAGTGTCGCAGAAAATGACAATCGTGCGATACGAAAAGCATATAAGAAACTGTTTGTTAGCAAAATTCATTAACTCACAGCCGATTCCAGTTAGCCTCGCGGAATATATACGGTTCCGATATCTATTGCTCAAACCCTTCTGCCACCAATAGTCAACAATAATTATTGCCTTCCCTCGCCAGACGCGAGGAGCGAAGATTTTCCTCGTTATCCCGTACTTATCTCGTTATCTCGCGGCCGGAAAATCGTGAAAGTCACTTCACGTAAGGGTTAACGTACGGTGGTTTGCCGGCGCAGCTGCCTCCGCCTATTATCGTTCGACGTACTTTCGGCATCGACGAACGAATCCCCGAAGAATTGAAGGTGGAAATAAAACATTCCTCCCGACTGCGGGATATTCCTCGTGATCCGATACGATCAGCGTGGAGACCGGGCCGGATGAGAAGGAAGGAGAGAGCGCGAGAGAGAAGTTTCGGCATAACTCAGCCTCGTTATCTGACTCGCAAATAAGGCAGCGGAAAAGTTCGCGACATCAATCTGAGCCGCTGCCGGGAGATTCGAAGTTGAAACAATGCTTAAGTCACCCCTAACGTATGAGCCCCATGGGGTGGCGTGCTGGGCGAGCGGTTGTTGCCGCCGTGATGCGTCGCTCTCCCGCCGAAGCCCGCCGATTCGATCTCGTCCACGACGCCCTACCTCCTTCGTCCGGCAGGAACGGGACCCTCCGGTCATCCTGCGCGCACCACCTCACCGATACGCCGCCCTCGGCAGGCATTAAACGCGAGACAAACTTTATTACCACCCCGGAGTTTCTCGGGACTTCTCGCGAGAGACGGCGGCTGTTAAGGATATTTCGAATCGGACCGGAAGTCTCGGCGCATACGCTCGGAGAAGAATCTCGTGGAAACGAATAAATCCGGAAGAGATTCGCGATACGGCGATACTTCCCTAGTCTCTAAGTCTTTCCATGCGAGTCTCTTATTCCTGGTTCTTTTTCTTGGATCTCGTTCGCTCATCTAGAAATTTGCGTTAGCAGTTTCGATTAGATCACACGGAAATTCGATCAATTATAATCTAAAGAGCACCAATAACTCGCCGTAGCTGGCGAATACACGTTTCGTCACCTATCTATCTCTACTTACCTATTTCTCTATCTACTTTATTTATCGTTTTAGCCAGTCGAGCGTGGGGAAGACGGATCTATTCGAGAGTCTCGGTTATACGAATCTAATTAAAAATAAGGAAAGAACAAGAGACGCATTCTGGATTTACGTGTTTCTTCCCTCACGTTCTCTCTCGCATTCAAGAATCTAATCCAAGACGGAATAATAATTCGTCCGGAAAACACCTCAAATAGCGTGTAAGATGGCGTAGGAGAAATATTACTCTTAGAATTTTTAAGAAAAACAATTTCTTTTTTTTATTCTTTAAAACAAGTGGAAAAAACAATATATATATATATATATATATATATGTATATATAATTACTAATTTAAAATTTACAAAACGAGTTTAAATTCTCCTATGCCGCTTAATCACGCCGTTTCATTAGAGCACTATTATACTTTTGTATGGCGTTGTGGTTCTTGTATTTACACAAACCGAGCTTCGAGTTCATCCAGTCGAGCTTGAATCGCGACGCAAAGCGGGGCCGTTTAATGTGAATATATAATACATATCTATACGCGATAACACCTTTTCATCGTTTACGATACCGACAGCTTAACGATATCTTTCGACAGTGGAGGGGGACATTGGATTATGCGCAATTTGATGTGAGTCGCGTGCTAAAGTTATTGGTTCGGACGATGAGCATGGCAAACCACGAAGACAATAAGGATGACGCGGATTCCACGAGTCGCCGCCCCTTGCGCGACTCAATCGATATATCGGCGCTTACTTCGTTTGTCATTTGGCATCGTACGATGCTTGCGCATTGATACCGTTTAAATTATTCATGGGGTTCAGGACGTTATGGGCGCTCGTGCTGGCTGGCGTTGGATATCCGTTGTGGTTATGGGCCGCTTCCCCGTTCGCTTGTCGCTGAGGGCCGCCAGCTACGTTCTGCAAGATAAAAGAAGACGCGTGAGGATTATACGCCGTCGCGCCGGTATACGGTATCCGGTGGTCGGTTTTCTCTTTCAATTTGGCTCGATCGATGATCTCGACTTAGCGGAAAATTTACGAGCACCCGGCTGCGCGCGTCCTTTACAAAGTGCAGTTGACCAATATCGCCGCGAACGGCGGCAACGCGATTGAGAAAGCAGCGTGTTTCTCGTATTTCTCTATCAATCTGTACATACGAGAGCGTTGTCTTTTTTTTTTTTTTTTTTTACGTTTCTGGTACTAACTAGTTGTAATCTATGTGACTTATGCGAGTGATATCGTACCACTGCAGGTGAATAGCACCGATCACCTTAGTTAACAAATTCTGGTTAGTGACTCGTGTCCCCTCTTGTCTAGATTATAACTCTAGATGTAACATAGATTGAGAAAGAAAATTTCATTAACCATGATTATCTCTGAACATTATTTTGCAGCAAATGGTCGCAATTATCTGTAAAGTTATAAAAGACACGCGATCGGCTTTTTCCTCTAATATCTCTCGATCGATGATCTTGGCGAAAAATAGAATACGCAACTAAAACGTTTAAGAAAATTCCTTATTCAAAGAAAAAATGTTATAAATATATTCGGCGTAAAATTAAAAAATGAATATCGATCAAACAAATGTTGAAGAAGATTTTATACATGCTGCTTTTTCTGGGATATTAAAATTATTAAGAATATAACTCGTTAATTAGATCACGTCACTGATTTTAAGACGTGTCTATGAATACATCATGTATATATTATATCATTTGTGAAAAATAACTTAAAATTTTATAGAATAATTATAAATTTTGCATGGCGATCGTGTGGCGTTTAATGCATTTTGGATAATGCATTTCATAGATTTCTCGGGAGCTGCGTCAATTCCGGTAAGAGCCGTCGGTTAAGAATTACATTCAATTTATTCTCGAGACTCATTTATAAAGCGCTTAAATGCATATCAGAGATATGCATAATACAGCGAATCTGTAATTCCGAGGAATTTAATTCGGTTAGAGAACAACTTACGGAATCCAGGAATAAAATCGGTCGATCGATCGACTCCATCAGCCTTGTAATTCGATTTTAACAATTATTCACGACGCGGCACGTAAAACCCGACGCGGGTTTCCACCCTTAAGGGGTTGACAATGCTAACGAATTCGCGCTCGTCCCCCCCTTCCCCCCTCCTCGTCCTCCTTTCTAACGTGTCTAAGACTCCACTTCAAAAACAAAAGCCCGAAGGAACGAACTTGTATCTCGTCTGAGGAAAAAGGTGGGGATGGCACAACTCAACTTGGGCGGTGCCTTCTTCCTCGCGAGCGATTCTTTATCCATCCTTGTCTCCGTACGATGGCCATATTTACGCGCTGATGGCGCAAAGCACCCGTGGGAGACGCGGCGAGTGTATGCCAGGCTAAATGCCGCTGAAAACTTAGAATTTTGCATTTCGCTCACTCCCCCCCCCCCTCCTCCCCTCCTTTTCTCGCCTTCCTTATCCCGCCGATCCCGCTTCCTCTTCGATCTACGTCGCCGTCTCGTCCTTCCTTACGCGTGTCGCTCTACCTCTTTCCGCCTTTCCGCCGCCTTCAGTCTCTCTTAGTTTCTGCAGTGAAGGTGTTAAATTATACAGGCTTAAAATTCGGCAGACCGTGCGGCTCAGCCCCTCGCGACGAGATCCTTCCCCGCCACGATTTCGGCCCGTAAGTTGATCATACTAACTTTCGCGCGGCGCTGAATTAAGCCTCCATTTTCGGCAATTATCGTGCCGCCTTGGAACGTCGTGGAATACGTTGCGACGCGACAAACGCGAATTGTTGTCGATTTTTAATTGTAATCTGTTTTATTTCGAGGACACGGAAGATTACGATGGAATTTATCATCAAAATAATATATTTCAATGGAATTCTTCGTATCTATTTTATTTCTCACTTGTTTGCGACGAAAGAAAGACGAAAACGCAGATCTATCACGGGGACCCCGTGAAAAGTGTTATCTCCGAGGTGTCTTAATAAAGCATTTTTCTCGTTCTAAAACGCAAAAAAGCGTAGCCGGCACAGGGTGCGGCTGCGGAGTAATTAACTCGTAAATAATTATGATAAAAATGACAAAGCGCCGCTAGAGAAATGCTTTATCATCTGTCTCCGCGGCGGAGGCGACTTTTTTTCCTTAGGAGAGATCCTTAAATCTCGTCGCCGTGAGAACCCTTTTCCCCATAGCCACCGGCAGGACTTCCGTCCCTCTCGTTCTCTCCCTTTCTCACTCTACGTTTCGTTATACTATATATATGGGATCCTCCTTTCTCTTTTCACCTCTCTCCGTCCTCGTCCTCTTGTCTTCGAGGGTCCCGCTCGTAATTAAGAAATCTCCGTGGAAGGCTCCAGACCGCCGTTGAACGTTACTATGGGTTAAATTAAGTCTATGACTTATTCAAGTTTTATCTACAATTGCCAGAGGAGGAATTACCGCGCTGTGGATTTACTGCCGACGTCGTAATCAAACGGCACGCGCTTTGCGGGATCCGGTGTGCGCGGGTACGTAAAGTTCTACGTTCGCACGGAGATGTCCTTGGGATCCTCTTCAAACTCAGATATATATTTCCTTTTATTTTTGTGACTGTTAAAGAATTTTGTTTAATGCACGGAGAAAGGGCATTTTGCTTCCGATATTAACATAACGACGGCTTCTCGTGTTGCTGATGATAGCCGAGCAGTTTCTTTTTATATTTATTCGCTCCTCCTTCCGACCGTAGTCTCCCGGTTTTTCCTTTCTCACGAGAGGATCTCGCTCGCGCGAATAAGACATTAATCGTGGCTCGGCGCGAGGGTAGCGAAGCGGGGCCAGGTAGTTTGTAACTGACGGTAAATGCGGAGCATCGCCGTTGCGGGGGCTTAGGAAGGAATCGCGTGTCATTTGTCCGTTGATCTCCCGCGGATGGGAAACGGCCAGGTGCGCGCCCCGTTCCGCCACGGCGCGGCTTTTCTTACGCGCAAAAATTAGCGCCACCCACCGAGCACGCTCGGGCCGAAGGCGGGTCGGATCTCCGACACGAGATGAGAATTAGGCAAGACGTCGTTAATCGTTCCGGCATCGTTTGGAAGCGAAATTTACCGGCGGGTCGTTAGTCCGGCGCGGCCATTTTTGCCATCTAATTCTCGCAGGAGAAAAAACATTTCTATCAACCCTCCGTTGTAGAATAATGCATTGACCGCGGAATAATGTATTGACGCGAATAATGTATTGACTGCGAAAAGGAAAACTATACATTGCATTTAGGGATCTTTTTGGCAATTTGAAACTTAATTTTCGTCGAACGTTAAGTTCCTTTTGCACTTCCTTATTTTTCAGCCTCGAGCCTTTTCGGTAATAATATCGAATATTGCAGTGAAATTTAGCGTTGTATCAAAATTATATAAATTACATCAAAATTCGCCACTTGAATGCAAGCTCGGCCGCGCGCGGTCGAGTCCTTGCGACGGGTCCACGCCAGTCAGTAATAATCGTTACAAAAGTAAGCTCGGCCACGTAGCACATAGCTCTCCGAGTTGTTTCCCAACTAAACTCATAATCTCGCATAAGCTCGCAAGCCGGGCTTTCCCATGCGAGCTTTCTCGCCGCGCGCGTTGTATAAGGGGCCGCGCGGAGGCTTTACGTGAAATTCAGCCAAGCACGGTGCACCTAATAATGCGCTCGTTAACAAGAACAACGTGTATACGCGCGTGCGAGGGGCCTCTGTCTCTCGCCCTCTCTTTCCCCCCCTCTCTCTCTCTCTCACCGTCTTCCTGTCACGACACAGTTTGCGCGACGTTGACCAACGGGCAATCTAATCGACCGATCGATCGACGATCGATCAGACCGTTGAAACTTGTTGTGTCTGGAAAAAATTTTGATCGCCGCGATCTGATAAAATCGTCGTATGATATCATTTTTGCGCGATAATTTTTTTTTTTTCATTCTTCAACACATTTTGAATACAAGTTAGGTATCTTTTTTTTCTGTAATTTTATGACATTCTCTGATGTAATTCTAAACAGATCGTATTCGCGTATACAACGATAGAGTATCTACAATGAAGGATTAATGATGGACTAATGGCTTTGTTCAGTGTGGGAATACGCTCGTGGCTCTGTATAGTACTGCATTACGATGATGCACGTCCATTTCACTAAACGCTACATTTCAAGGGATTAACCGTGCGCTACATTAATTATTATTAATGGTATCATATCCTATTTTGACACATTCTATTCGGGTATTCTAATGCATACGTTATATCGATCTCTAAGTGTTTTATTCACATCGCAACAATTATTTTAAATCAGTCGCGCGAAATGTGCGCAGTGTCGATAATGAAAATTATTTAATTAGATACACGTCAAATCTCTTATACATTATATTTCGCGATTGTAAATTTTTCAGTAACGCGATCCATTCTTTAGTGCCTCCGCCACATTAATTTGAATTATCGCGGTTATTATTATAATAATCCACTCGTTAATTTGCAATATTTATCTAATGATTCAGATTGCATTTGAAAAATAAGCGAAATAGAAAAACGATATACATTTTTAAACTACGTAATATAAACTAACGTAATATTTAAACTACGTAAATATAGAATTCATTTATTTAAATCCATCTTTATAAGCGCGATACGTCCGTTTACATCGCCCCTCCCGAGCAAATGGATATTGAACACTCAAATCCAATAAAAGTGACATTAAACCGAAAGTTTAATTTCGTCGAAATTAGTCGCTCGCGTTCAACGAACTTTCGGGAATCTAATCGCCTGGAAGCAATATAGAGGACGTTGTAATGCCTCATTCCCCGTACGAATCTCGTACTGCGCATTGATCCTCTTAAATTCCCATGTACCTTCCGTCTTGGCATTAGCATATTATCTCACCTCCGCAACCCCCCCCCCCCCCACCTCTGCCCCTCATCGCACCCTTCAGCCTCCTTCTGGCACCTCAGCCCGCCTCTCCCTTCTGATTCGCGAAGGACTTCGCAGACACTCGAGAGTTTGTTTTAAAACTCAGATAATCGTTCCAAACTCTCGTCGCGTCTTCCTCTTTCTCGTTCTTATCCCGTGTCTATATCACCGCGCTGCGCTTCCCCTTTCATCCACCCTCCCCTACATCCCGCTTGAGTCCCGAGGGGAAAATTAGACCGAAATAAAAGTTCTCGCCAATTTTTAAGCGCGTTACACTTGTCTCTAAGGAGGATGAGATTGCGCGGCTCGATCGAAGCTCCTCGTTGAGAAGTGAAAGCTTCACCGAGTCTTTTCGCCATCGCCGTTGTTTTCAGAGCGGCGATACTGTTCTTTCATCGATTTTCTCTCGAGTACAAAGTTTAACGTCTTTTTCATTTCGAGATTATATGTTTTCATCGCATTAATCGCAATGCGCAAAGATTATTTATTAGTTGTATCTGTAAAATTCGTTACTTCGAACGATGGGAGAATCCAGTCGATATCGTTGATAATCCCCGCATAATTCGCACTCTGACGTGCGATAAAGTTTCAATAGGCGATGATATCGAGAACGCTCCGTCATTCGTCTCTGGCGAGGCAATTCGCTTGTCGATACTGACGGCCAAAGGCGGTCCAGTCCCGCCGCTTCCTTTCATTCCTTCATCCCTCCCGCTCACGATTCACCCCGGATCAGGCATACTCGAGTTACTCGTAAGCAACACTCGCCGGCATTATTCGCCAGAAGCGCGGCGGATCCTCCCAGGGCTGAGAAAGATTGGGACAGCTGTCTGTTCTCAGGCAATCAGAAAAACTACCCGTCGCCCCCACCTTTCGCTGGCGGTACTTTGCCGTCCCCGACGAGCCGCGGCTTAAGGAGAGTACAAGGGTGGCAGCTGCCTCCAGAACGAGAGCACCCTCTTCGCGGTTTTTAAGAATCTTAACGCCTTCTCTCCTTTCTCCCTCTCTACCTTTCTCCTCGCTGTCTCTCCCGCACTCTTTATAGACACTCTCAATTTCATCTTTGCATCTTTTATCGCGGTTTATCAGAGTGCCTAATCCACACGGCAGTCTGCGGTTTTTTCTTCTTCCAAAGTTGTCTTTCGTGCTCGGAAAGATGTTATCAATTTTATCTGACGTGTCGCCGTCGTTTGATCATCATTTATTCCTATGATGTATTCGCGACGTTATTTATTCACGAGACAAAAGTGCGCGATGTATACGTTAATTCCTCTTATTTAGATGCAAAACGACCCTCAGGATAGGTAGCAGAGTGGTTAGACATCTTGAGTGTTCACCGCGCGATCAAAGGTATTCACGCTCCAGGAACGAGATGTCAAGAGGGATCCATCAGGCTTAGCGTAATAGATGCGCAGACGACATTAGCATGCCACGCCGATTATTGGCATTAGTCTGCCATCCCGTTATTTCGCACACCGGTCATTTATAACCCGTAAACCCTCCGAGCGAATCGATATTGCGTGTGAAAGCTGCTGGATCGCGCAATATCGCGGAATACACCGCCGGACGTGCCAATTTTTCCCGATTGTTGACGATACCAGAAATTTACAGCAAAAAAACAAATTTGATCTGCCCGTGTCGGGCGGTAAAAATATCTCGTATTAATTAAAGCGGCACGTTGCGCTCGCGCCGTGCAGTGAGTCGGCGCGGAGTTGCGCGAATTTTAAGGCTCGTGACACCGCCTCGGCCTCAACGAGGGAGATTTACGCGCGCGTGGGTGTCCCTGAAAAATGTTTACACGGTACACACTTGCTCACGCGAGCCGATATATTTCTTTAAACATTATAAGCGACGTTCACACGCACGCACGCACGCACGCACGCACGCACGCGGGAGCGCGCGACGCTTACGTGGCGCGAGGAATAGAGTCACAAGGGTTACCAACCCCTGAATTACACGCAGGCGAGGCGGTTAAGGGGAGCGAATTTGCATATTATAAGTAGTACACGTTACCGAGCTTGATATCATCGGGCCGGGGACCTCGTTATTCTGTGCATGCGTACAATTCGAGCGTGCGGCGAGCATCTACGGCGTCAGACCGCTCTCTCCGAGGCTCTTTCGGAGTCTCAAACTTTCGCGACAACCATTTTTATCGTGGCCTCTTAACGATCTTCGAATAATCAGAATAATGGCGAGCGGTATTGCAGCAATTATCGAGAGTTTGGTTTAACGACTCAATTTTCTCGTTTAAAAAAAAAAAGAACCTGTTTAGATTTTTGTACAAAAGACACGCGTGTTTGAATTTTTACTCGTCTTAAAAAACGTAGTGGTAAATCGTTATATCGCAATAATGAATCGGTAGAATTTTGTTCTCATTTCTTCGGGATTACTCCGATCGTTATTTTTAAGCAAATGTCGCGAATTGGAATACGCGACGTCATTGTACAGGAAGACGGCGGGATCCTTGCAAGACGGCACTCGGATTAAATGGATAGGCTCCTAGGGTCGAGTAGGACGCGGTCCTCCGTGCGCAGGAGCTTAAGATATTGTTTCGAAGCAAGGCTGTTGCCTTAGGATAATCAAGAAGACTTAATCCTAACAAGCTTAACACCGATGAGTTCATAATTCTGGACGTTGCCGCTCATGAAAATGGCCTCTCTTCGCCGCTCGTCATTTGCTCCCTTATCATCATATTAAGAACTTTACACGCGTCTTTACTCCAATTATTTAATTCAATATTAAGGAAAATCGTTCTTGTAATCCTGCCCGAAGAACAAGACTCAATTTGTCTGCAATGTGTTTTGCAATATTGTTATTTTTATCCTGCAAAATCGCTGGTATGCGAGTGATAAGGATTTTTCAAAGGATTAATCAGAGATTTCGCAATCACGCGACAATTTCCCGGCTTCGTAGTTTCACGGCGGAATAGCTAAGCGGAAGTCTTGACGATGGCTTCGAAGAGTAAATTCTTTCGCACGTCCCGCCTCTCGGACGAAGAACGGGCAAATCGTTAAGGCATGCGACGGGGCTTGCTTAACGGGCGAGCTTAATTAATAAGGACACGCGATATCCTAACTCGTAAGACGACGGTAGGATGGTAAAGCATAGCTGAAGCCTCGGGGGAGTCCTTTGTTGTCGAGAGGGTCGGGACGGGTGACCTGCCACTTTAACCCGCCTTAAGGGGTTGCTCCTTGAGGAGTTTGAAACCTTGCAAGTTTGAAACCCGATGGCCAGAGTCCAGAGAGAAGATTTTACAGTGTACTTGATTGTATTTTACGGGGAGTTGCCTCGTAACGGAAATATCTATCGATCGACAGCTATTACTTAATCGTGGAAGCTTATAATTTATGTAGTAACGCAGGCGAGTTTTGATTGAAAAACAATCAATACATTTTTCACCTGTGGCTGAAGGTGAGTCACCTGTCTCTTGATGTGTGCCAATGTAGCGCTGGGCGGAGGATGCAGAGCCATGTTGGCGAACACCAGCCTCTCCTCGTAATCGTACTCGCAGAGGATCTTGTTGTCGCAGAGATAAAATCTGTCGCCTACGCAAAATCTGCAACCAGAAATCAATTTCATCGTTAAAAATTGTACTGTATTGCTGAAATCAAAGATACCGATGTTTCGCAAGGCTGTAACGACATTTCAATATATGCGTACATTCAATATATACGTATAGATAAAGAATTAGTGGCCGATGCTCGTTATCGCATCGATTTGCGCTGTTTAAAAATCACAGAGAGGAAGAAATTCCGTTTACGAGTCGTGCGAAATAGGCAGAGCGGTAAAGCGTGCTAATTCCTTTTAAGGCCACTTTCCGTTCTGCTCCGCCGAGGAAATTGCTGGAAAATAAAAACAAGCGGCGAAAACGCCGGCCCTCCTCCACTTCTTTCGGCGTCTTTCGAGATTCTTAAATGTAAATTTTCAGTCGATTCGCGCAGACATCGCGCTCGGATTACCGCGATTGGAAATTTCTGCAGTTTTTTTTTTCTTTTACCTTTCCCCCCCCCTCCCTCTCTCTCTCTTTCTCTCTCTCCACAAGCATGTAGACATTACTACTTTTTCCGTCTGTTAAATAAGAGGTCCCGAAGATTAACGTTTCACTGTTTTCAAAATTCCGATATACATATCAGAAAATTGTTGATAAATTGACATATGCGCGAGCTGACATCTGTCCATTCTCAGAAACGAAGTCAGAGACAGCACACTGAAGTGTATTTTAAAATTCAGCGTATAAAAGTCCGGGATTTTGGAGTAATCCCGACACGATATACATACCGCTGCACGCGGATTTCGGGATAGCGCGGTGCCGAACGTGCTCGGTTTGCGATATCAGAGAAATAAGGTTGCCACTGAGGGTTATACGCATCGACCAACTGTCGCTCCCGCGAAAGGGGGGAAAGGGGCGAGGGGCTGGGGAGACCTTTAAAATCAAAGATTTCACATTTTTCGTTTTTATTACCGGTTTAAAAGTCAATTTTTTCTCTTTCGGGAGGGGAAAGGAAGGGGGTCTGCGTATAAAGGACGTTACGCCGGAAATGCTAAAGAGCCATGAAAGCGGGCTCGTAAAAGTGGCCGCGTGCTTCCACCGTGCACAATGGATCGAGGATCCACGAGGGACACGGGAATCGTTTTGCCGGGATCCACCGGGGCTTGAAAATTCCCGTCAGGCGTCGAGGACATCACTCTCTGGACGTTATACGCACCGCGTATATCGATCTCGAATATGACGGGCGTGTTCGTGCGATTTGTCTTGCGGAAGGGCTCGCGAAACTTCAAGTCGTCTTTGGGACACGTCAATTTCCCCCGGATATTATTAATGTAGACCATTCGGAGAGAATCGACCCTCCCCCGTTCCTTTACTTCCCATCGCATTGTCTTTGATTTTATATTTTTTTTTTAACTCGTGACGATTTGACAAAAAGTAACACACTAATATCCCTTTATCTTATTTGTTGAACAAGTTTTAAATAAATTAACGTTAACGAATGCGACTAGTATGCAAACATAATGCGCGGCTGTGTTTAACGCAAGACGCGGGTTATTGAGCGCTGGAAAAGATCTCCGGGAATTTCGCATCAGTAAAACCGACAAGATCTATGGAATGCGCGTCACAAATGGTTTATCGACGAGATGGGCGATTCTCTCTTCAAGACGTCGTCGATGAGCCGTGTAAACTCCACGGCGGTGCAAACGCTTGGGGCGAAATGCGCATACCGTCGCGTTCGTAATTCAACGGTGAATAATAAAAGCATTTTTCGGTGAAGGGGGTGGGCGGACAATGTACATCGGCTACATACGGCCATTGCGTATTCAACGGATGTGCTGTCCCGCGTTGGGATCCTGTTTGGGTTTTATGTCGGGATTTCTCTGTCGAGTGGTTTATACCGGCGCTTATGTAAATGCAGACGTGATTTTTTTCAGCACCTACTCGAGCCACCTGAACGAGCGCGCGCGGCACATTTGTAGCATTCGAAACGAGCCGGTTGGTGGTCGGTCGGTCGGTCGGTCGTCGTCTCCTTCCGAGAGGACTATGAAATCGCAATGAGGCTCTACGACGTACGCCACCGCGCGTATCCGGTGAAATCTGCATTATTTTCAGTGGACTCAGCGTTGCGTTTCTCGCTGAGTCGATGGTGTCGCTGAGTAAGTCGCTATAAAATCACACAGTTCGCAAAAAGTTTTCTCAATATATAAAATCTATATTTTCCTTGATATAAATTCTTCCAACGTATAAAACTTCTTTAACCTGCAAAATCTCTCATTGCAACATCACGATTTTCATATAAAAAAGAATTGAACAAAGATCGTGTATCGAGCACTTATTTTCTGGGATGAATTTAGCCGGAACAATTTTGATTTATAAATATCTGAAAGTGTTGTTTTTAAAAGAGCTATGTTCCATTAACGGGCATTGTGACATCCAGTGCAAGAAACAACGTGAATTGACCGAGCTTTCATCTGATTATTGCTTTTTTCAATGTTTGTGACTGGCGTCCGAATTTGTTCATCGTCATTAAAAATTTCCGTTAATCCGTCATTGATTTGGAAATATAAATGTGAACAATTACAGATGCATTAACCCGCGTTGGAGACTCGATTCGAAATAGCAAGCGATGATCCTATATTCAGCCTGACTGGCGACAGTATAATTGAACTTAAAATATCTCTTCGATCGGCACATGAATCCGCGATGTCTCGATCAATAGTTCGGGTGTAGAGAATCGTAATATATAAATATGCTTCTCCGTTCTCGGTGAAATCAGAACACCGCCGAGGACCCGAGGTACATTAACGATTTCGCGCGCACAGGTTTAGCGTCTGCCATCGATCGCGCTTATCAATTTAGCGATTGAGTTAATTATGGCGAATAAAAGTGTGGCGAGCAAGCTTAAAATGTAACTTTAACTTGGAATATTTCATCGCGATCGAGGAATAATAAACTCCGCGTCAGATAACACGTTTGCGCTTATTGAGATACCTGATTTCACGGGAACAAGAAGAATAAAAGGTAAACGAAGAAACAAAGAGGAAGAGCGAGAAAGGAGAGAGACAGTCGTGCGCGATCGGAACATCTAGCATGAACCACCATAAAAAGCAATGCGCCCTCGTAACGGGGCACGATAAGTACCACGCCGCGGAGCAAAATCGATCCCGGGGGCAGCTTCGAATCATGCACCATAAAAAGGAACATTACAGGGTGTAGGCGCGAGAGGAGAGGAGTTTCGACGGAGCGACCAGAAAAGAAAAAAAAAAACGGTTCCTCATAACGGTGTCGTGATTTTGCGTCTAGATACGCGTTACACTCGCCGATAAACGCCATTTGTGTAACTCGTATCGCTAAACGTTCGCGGCATTAGCCGACGATGTTTTCGAAGTTTCGTAATACGTATCGCTTTCATATCATTATCGCGCCGCGCTGTTCGCTCGACATCAAACGCACATTTTCGCGGTACTTTATTTTGAAGCAAAGCGAATTATGCGCGGGGAGAAATGCAGGGAGAAACTGACACATTTGCAATTATATTTGAACGGTCAAAGATATGAATAACATCATCAATCGATGCTGCATTTATTGATGCAAGTGAATGATGTTGAAACGCGATATTCGCAGCGGTTAAGAATCACCGCGGATTCATTAAACCAAAGCGATAGAATTACTAGATTTATGGAATGAAAGACGATATTTCGCGCTCCGCGTGAATCTAAAAAGTATCGAGCTCAACCGAGTCATAACACATTTCGGAAATCAAAGAACAAATTGGTAGCGGCAAAGTGTTAAAGTGTTCTCCGCGACGCGTCTCTCTCTCTCTCTCTCTCTCTCTCTCTCTC